AAAATGAGAACTTTTTGAAGGAGCCTTTTAACTTTAAGAATATGAAACATCAAAACTCAGACTTCCAATAGTTTAGCAGTATATACATCACAGTATATAACATGTCCCACAAAAGATTTTATTAATTGAAATTTTTTCTTGTTAAAAAACAAAAAATTACTCTTAAACTTTGAAAATGCTTATTTTCTCCGTGCAAAATGTTTTCTATGAGTAAGGACTCTTGACACTCAAAATGAGTAGCAATACCCCAATAGTTCAGGCAAGGAGGTGATTTTAATATAACTTCAGGCCATGTCTCCTAAACTAATGTAATGAATTTAAAAATTTTTACCTTCTTCCAATATAAGGTGCAATCAAAATCTAGAACTTACTGGGTGGACGGGGAGAATTACACTTTACTATCTAGAAAAAAGACATGTTTTTCCGAAATATTATTTTACATTTCATCGAATAAAATATCATCCACGTCGATGCAACTATTAGATCAGAAGCTATAAAAGCTTATGTGGTTAAATACATTGCTGTGCAGACGAAAATAGCTTTAGATCCTGTGGATTCTTTTAGAATTAATTGAATCAGATAAAACGAATTCAAATGAAATCAAGATTACTTTATTGTTAATAGTATTAGGAATATTTAATACCTTATTTTGAACATATTCCCTTTTCGGTACATCGAATTGCTGAAACCGAATAAGATTTTAACCTGTAAGATGCATAGTTTGGATGTAATTTTATTTCAAGCAGCATAAATTTTGATTTGTACTTATTTATATATTTGACATTGCTATATAAGAACTTAAGTACTTTTGATGTTGCTATATAATTACCAAAAGTATTTGTACAATACATTTTAAGTTACCTAGAAAGAAATGTAGAATCGGAAGTAGGTGTAAGTCAAAACCGTTTCGCCAATTAAATCATTTTAACACTTAAAACTTCTAAATTATTAATACTACTAATTTGGTTTCGATCTCTGTCAATTAAGAGGGAAAAAATACGCATAATCATATTTATTGATTCACGTATTTAGTGGTGACAAACAAGCCAATATGCTTACGTACAAAATAGTACTTTTTATCGATGAAAAATTTTGAACAACTACTAATAGTTCTATAAACTTTATTGAGGTTTTATTTGATTCGGAGAAACAGAAATAAGGAAAAAAAGAGAAGGTCTCCCATTATATAAAAAAAATTTAAAAGGTACATATAATAAACGTAACTAATTTTTATTTTCTATTTTGCTATTAACTCTGCTCTGAGGTAACTAAGGTAAGTCTTGGTTTAAGAAAATAAGAAGCATGTTAGAAACTTCAGAAAACATAAAAAGCGATGACTGGATGGAATGTGTAACATGTATGTGATTTTTTTTTAAAGTGATTGATTAAATCTGCTCATTAAATTTTATTGGCTACATTCATTTTTACTTATTTTCAAGATAAAATTCATTCGTTACAGCCTATTTTTAGTTTTTCATATCAACTGCATGAAGTGTGTTATTTTCTAAAAATTAAATTCACTTCTCCCATTGCTGTATTAGGTGATCATCTCCCCTCGACATTAAGAAATGACCACTGTTTTGTTTGCTTTCAAACAATTTTTTTCTGATATTTTGTTTTCAATATTTCACTATTTTTTGCTCAATATATGTTGAATAAAGGTATGAGAATTTAAAATAAGCATAAGTATTTCTTCTATCTCTA